CTCACTGGTCACTATATGTATGTACGTCCGTCACACTCACTGGTCACTATATGTATGTACGTCCGTCACATGCGGACGCCGACGCCGACATTTATTTCATATGACCCTAGACTTTCAGTCAAGGGAACTACTTTTTTTAAATTAAAAAATAGCTTATGTGCTTTCGATAGACATCACTGACGCATCAAAAAGTCACAAGGCGCTTGCTACGACCAAGACACTTAGTCGTCCATCAACGAGGAATGAATCACGTAGTTGTATTGAAGACACCAGAAATGCATTGACATTCTTGTTAGATACAAAATGATTCTGGTACCTAGTCAAGACATCTCTGGCAACAGTAATGGAGAGATAATATTTTCAGAATGTGCCCTGTCTATATTGTTTTTGTACATTATACTGACTACCATACTTTGGAACGGACTATTTTTAATTTGTTGCTTTTTTACTTGATTATGCTAGACTTAAGTCTAACTTGATTAATACATGCGTTAGATTTGAACTTGTGCTTGTCCGCACAAATGATACTGGTGCTAGTGACAGTTCACTGATACAACTGCAGCCGATCAATTGGTATTTATAATGTGGCTTACTGGCGTGTATATTGATGCTGGCAATACCTATCAGCAGAGGAATTCACATGAAGAGATAATTTAAAGCAGAATTGGCTATGTGAATGTTTTCATTAGATGTGTAGTGAAACGTCTATCTTCTCTATACATTGATTTTCGAAAGTAAATGTTTTTGCTATTACTGCACAGAGTTGAAAATAAAATCGGTATAGATATATACAGTTTTCTCTATTTTAGTGAAACATAATCTCACGGTATTTAAGTTATATTCCGACTTCCGGCAATTTGTCCATTCGCTGTCCCATACATTTACCTAGATGTATCTGGAAGTTAAAAATCCCGTAACTAACAAATAATTAATTCTTTCACGTATTAAATTTAATTTACTAATCGTAATAGCCTGTCCACGATAAACGTGTACAATAGAATCTTTCGATTTTAGTGAGTTTACAAATTTTTCGTGTTCATGAGTAAGTTGTTCACAATAAAGAAAAGACCAAACGGAATATCTAAATCCGACTGTCTGAGTGCTTTGTTGAGAATACGATATAAAAATGATTCTCTCGAATACCACCAAATTGACTTTTGCAATCGATCGATAGTGTCGATCAAATTCACAAATTTTTGATTGTCCCACTAAATTACCATCATAATTTTCGTTCCAAACATGAATTAATTCTTCTTTAGCTTTTGTTCGTTACATGGTATTTCCAAAAGAATATCAACGTAAAGTAGAAAATACATAAATGCTGCATTACGTGAATCTCGTTGTTGTTGTACAGTTGTACTTTCACTTTTTGATCGACTATAATATCGATTGCCAACGATGTATCATCAGTTCGTTCATGAATTCGTTGATTTTTCTTCAATTGTTCAATGAGATTACCGGATCTTGTAAAAACATCTTTAATCTAAAAGAACGTGGTGATAGTAAGTGATGATATCGACCATAAATATTTCAAAAAAGAAACCTAGGTTAGATCAGTATCGAATTCTAAACAGCGTGACTCATTTTTTTTTTCGAAAAAACGACTTTCATTTTTTCAGTCAAACCTGATCCTGTAACCTCCTTTTGAATATCGAAGAAAATATTTTTTTTCAGTTTCTCACAGGGACACATTGTTCAATGCAGAATTTAATGTTAATTACGAATATTATGTTAAACCCCCGTCCACATTAGAAGCCTGGTGGGCTTATATTATGTCCCGCAAGAAAGGCAAAATTTTCTCAATAAGTACCCTATGAGCAGGGGCAATTTTCAAAAACTTTCTTGCCAGGCTGGGCTTCTAATGCGGGTGGACTTCTATTATGGGGTGGGCTTCTAATGTGAGGGAGGGTTAATATTATTGAAAATGTATTTTGAAAGAGAAAACTAGTTTTTTTAATCTAATCGATAGTATTTAAGGCCATTGTAAGGGATTTTGTCTGCAGTTTCAGCAAAGAGCTATTCAAAATTTTAAAAATCTATATCAGATATATGTAAACTATCGTTTTTCGTTAAAAATATTTAAGGCAAATGTCATTGTTCACACCCACTCAGATCCTTTATAGAAGCATTGTCGGTAAAAAAAGAGTGGACTTAGATATTTTTTGACTGACGTTTGACAAGAAAGTGATGGAGGCTTGCGGTCTTCAAGGATTGCAAGCCGAGACCTTCATCACGAAAGTCATTTTGAAAATTTTCTTACAAAGTGGGTTTTCCAGAGGATCTTTAGAAAATCATACTATTACTAAAAAGCTCATAATAAAATTATTTTGATTTTTTACATGGGTACACAGTCTAAAGCGTTCTCTTCGAAATGGCAGTCAAGCCAGAACTTAATTTTTAGTGGGTGGATCACGGTACTAGACATCACAGGAGTTCCAAGGCTAGCATCGGGTGACTTGCAATGGCCATCCGTATACACACTACTTTTACATATATGAGTGATCTGTGCTATTCTACTATTTAAGTAAATGAATAAAAAAAGCAAATATTAAAGTTTTTTTTCTTATTACTGGACTAAACTGTGAATGCTGAAGCTTTAGGAATTTCATAGAAATATTATTCTGGCTGTCATTTTCATTTTTCTTCTAAAAACTTGGATTTTGTAAAGATTTCTGTAAAGATGAAGGTCGAGATAGGTTGGTGCGGTAGCGAGTACTCTTGATATTGAGCCGCGTATTTTTCGCCGTTTACTTACTGTGTGTTCGATGTATTCTTTCCGCGTTAGATTCAGAACAAGATGAGTATCAAATAATTTTAAAGAAGAAACAAGCTCAAGAGAAAGATTATCTATTTAAGATCAGTTAAACTTTGATTCGAAGAAATTATGTCAGAAAATACCATCCATTGACATTTATCAGCATTTAGTTCACAAGATTCTTATCATACCATTCTGGCATTTCATTTATGCAGATTTCTGCTGTGTTAATATTTTCATTTTTAAAATCCACGTTACAAAACATCATCTGAGACAAGAGAAGATAATTTCACAATGCTCAAAAACGTCAGAAGATCGTTGAGAACGGTACACCGACAGATGAACCTCTGACGTTTGAGCCTTGACAGATGAGGCTCTCAACACTTGAGCTCTTGACATTTGAGCCTCCGATATTTAAGCCTCCCGATACGTGCGCCTTCAACATTTGCGTCTACCACAGGTGACTATTATCCAAAGAACTAGATAGGCATTATATGACTCAGTTCGATACGATTAAAGAACACACTAGTTGGTTAATTTTTTAAAATTTAATATACAAACTAATCGATTAAAATTTGATTTGGCTTTTTAACGAGTTGTAAATATATATACAGAGAAAGAAACACACTTCACTTATTTCACTATCCCCTTTTTCCTTAAAAATATCTATTGTAACTGAAGCACGAATTATAAATGAAGCATTACTAGATGTTCATAAAGATGATGGAACAGCTTACCCAGTTATACATCATCACAACGTACTATTGAATGCAAGAGTAAAAAAGATGAAAATAATCATAGTAATATCTGATCTTTCTGTATAAGATTTAGGCTTGCAACCATCACACAGTGGGCATCCAGGCGGACATTAGGCAAAAAATCGAAGTAACTCTTTTCTCAAATATAAATAGTGTAAAATGTAGCTGTTCAAATTCTCTATCGAATGTGTATAAATGTCTATTTTGAAAATGGATCCTTCGAGCAGAAGGCAGTGTACATAAAACCCATAGTGAATATCGTTACCACACTCGAAATCACGATTCTATACTCACTCAGCTATGTTACGAGACTTCAAAGCACATATTCAGAATCGACATGTCTTCAGCTATCTACTGATAGCAAAATGTTTATACTTCGAAAGTAATTGCAATAAGGCCGTTAACGATTCTTCACCATCTCATACCGGTATGACACTACTTCTGTGCAGTGATATCGCTAAATAGCGCTAAACCCCTATAGACCTACTAAATACATCAAAATGTTCCTCTACAACTAGTCTATTTATGGTGAAATCGCAAAATCTCGCATATGTTCCAAAAACGCTTTATGGATTTTCCAAAACCCATAGGGGTTTGGAGGTATTTCGAATTTTTCTCCCTTATAAACACACATTTCGTCAAATATAATACCATATTCGGGATCAACGTGAAAAACTGCATCGAATGGTGTGTAACTCATCTAGTTTCGGTAGCTCAATTTTGAATTCTAGAGATTTCTTAGTTTTTGAGATTCACACAAACAATTTCGTGCTGGAAATTTGAATTTCAAGATAAAGTAACCTGAACGGCTCGAAACATGTTTCTTATAGGTTTTCGACAATACTCTTTCCAGTGGCATCGTTTTTAAATATTGAGAAAGTTTTCTGAAGGGTTTTTCAGAGACTGGATCTCTGGAAAACTCCTTAGAAAACTTTTTCAAAAGCCAACTCTCATGCCATTAGAAAGAGGAGCATGAAAAACCTATAAAAAAATGGTTCATGAAATTTTAGTTCACTCATAAAGCTAAAGTCCGCCTGCTCGAGCAAAAAATGTCCATTGTGCATCATTCGTTAATGATCACAAAGTTTGACGTTACTTAAAAAATTTTGCTTGCTTATCGTTTGTATCTGAAGCTTTTGTGTACAAGAATTTGACAAATTTCAAGATGAATCTAATGATTCGATAACTGGTACGTAGTTTAATGGATTATATAACTGAAACTCCCACATGGTTGATTTTTTGTTGAAATTGTATGGATTTCATCGATTATTTTGAAAACAATTATATTGGGCGTCGAACTCGTAATAATCGTCGTCATGTTCCGCATTTTCCAATAACTTTGTGGAATTGCTTTTTACGGTTGAATCAACAACTTCCAGATACAAATAATTCTTCAGAAGGATGGCATCATGCACTTAAAGTAAGGTCACGCTCTAAAGACTATTTCATCAATAACTCATCTACTTCTGTTTAGAATTCGGCTCGTAAAAATCCATCTATTTATGAATCTATTAAAGATCTTCAAATGGAACAACATGCAGATTTAATTCTGGCTGAGAAATTAGAACTCGTTTAGTTGAGAAATTGAATGGGTGGCTAAGAAATTGAAAACTTGTAAATACTTGATTATATTTAGAGAGAGAGAGAGACGAAACAATGAGTGCCTCTCTCTCCTCTTATTTCTAACCTTTTTGTATGTTCAAGTTTTGTCAACTGAATTCAATTTTCAAGTTGTACACATGCCGTTTCAAGAAATTAACTACCAATAACCAAAACTTTGATTACTTGTGTATTGTTAGAAATAGGAGCTTGCCGCAACTATTACTTTCTATAAATTAGGATATGAAGTATTCTGTTACTGTCTTTTCTGTACACTGTCATTCAACGCTTTTATCTATCTGTCTGTTTCCTTCCCTGTGGTCTGTGTATATCTTTTAACTGATAATTACTTTTATCATCAAATACTTGAAAAATATATCACTGGAAGAACGATGTTGAAAACAAACATCGACAATCAATCATATACAAGAATAAATAATCATGGACAGTAACACATAAAACTTTTATTAACAGAAAGAACGCCAATCACACATTTATTTTATATCCTCACTAAACCACTAAACTGACATAAACACAAACACATTGAAAGTAATAACACTATAGCAAAAATGAATTTCGTTATCATACTATTCATAATAACTTCTCTTCTGAACAGTCAAATTAATAGTCGTTTCGTATTTGACTATGACGACAATGATTATCAACGAACACAAAACGAAGATTTTGAACGGTGGCTGTCATTATCACCGCCACTTTTGAAACGAGTATTGACAACCGATTATATATCGTCCGTATTTACAGCGTTCGATCTCGATAATCATCAATTTGATCAACTAGTCAATCGACTGAGTGAACAAGAACGTCGACTAGTAAGTGATATTATTGGAACCAATGCAATAATGATAGTACAATCGGTATGTCCAGAAGCAATACCAGCAGATAAAGGAACAGCGGACGATCAAGAACGTGAAATGAAAATGATGAAAATGCTTTTTAATGTACATGTTAAAAAAATTCACCGAAAATTGAATGCAAATGGTCGAAATGTAGTCGATAAAGTAATTGAAGAGATGAAAGTAAATGCACCAAAAGCATGTAAATTCATTGCTAGTAGTGACAATAATTGGTAATGATAATAATCGTTTTTCTGCTTGAAAATGAACCGGTGTGACCCATATTTTTGACCGGTTTTTCCTATTGATTTTCGTGTACGGAGGGTGTCCCGAAAAATTGACTGTGCAGCACATTGATGTTTTTAATAATCGAATGCACTTCGATTATCGTTGTATACCTAGTGTTTTTTCCTTAATCTCTGGTTTTTACCACAAAGTTTAAAAATCTAAATAAAGGATAAAGAAAATATGAACCAAACTAGATTTGTAGGGCCTGTGAGAATGTTAGTATATTCGTGCTATGCTTTAAACGAAACATAGAGACACGAAAGTTTTACTCCCATTATCACCGATGCTTTGACGATGGAAGCGACGCCCAAAACAACGTTTTAGAAACAGAGTTTTTGTTTTGCGTTTTTTTGTTCTTCTCATCACTTTTATGAAGGATATGAAAGTGGTAGGAAGTTTCTAGTTATTATTTTCTCATAACGTTGGAATGGAAAGAAATTCTTGGTTAGAGCTTTGGTTTTTGCACACTCCTTCGACTAAATTTTCGAGTGTCTATTGGATTTGGTGAGTAACAGACAAAATTGTGTCAGATTTGCATTGCTTTATTGAAGGAGAGGCATAACAGCCAACAGACGGCTTATTTCTTAGTATGAGTACTCATGATTATTGTACAGTTTTCAATGCGCTATTTGTGCTTTTTGCCATTTGCTATACTTTTAAATAAATTGGTTTAAATCAATGCGCTATTTTCAACCATGATATGTTGTAAGAATCGGCCTGCGGTTAAATTAGACGGATATGTCTTACTCAGTTGAAAAAGTTCAAACTGATAAAAGCATTTCCATCTCACAAAATACGTCCCCCCCTATTGTGCTCCTTTCATATCAAGCGTCAAAAAAAATGTACAGTAGTATCGCCCGATTCATCCAGACTACTAGATTTTTACTCGATTGCAACAATATTGGGTAACGACAGTGGAAATCTAGTGATCGGGCGATTGCTAGATTTCTTCTAGTTCCAACAAACGATTTATCGCGCGGTAATCGATCGACTAAACTATTGCTAGCTACACATGCAGATACATCTGGTTAAAAGTCCCTTTTCCAACTAGGAATCTAGACGACAGCTAGCCCGATTACAGATGAAATGTATCTAGATTTTTCCATAGGTGATGTTTGCTCGGACATACAGCGAATAAGTGCCAGTAATAATGTATTGATATTGTTACGACTACCACACTAAACTTTTTAATTTTGCATTCAGGATATAGCATTCGCCTACGTTAAACGTATACGGTTCTTCCTGGCGTATTTTGTAAAAACTTTCTAGCTTTAACTAGTGGCGCTTCGAAGCTCGAAACCACTACAAGTGGGCGTATCTCTTAACTCAAGTTACCAGCCAAGAGATAAAAACTTAATTACTTCTGTATCGCAAAAGATACAGTATGGCGGAACGTAAGTTACTGTTTATAAGTTAGAATAACAACCCACCTGTTACTGTCTTTCACGTACACTATCATTCGACACTCATCATTTCTTTCTCTGTATGGACATAATATCTTTTAATTGCTAATTATTTTTTTCAACGAATACTTAAAAAAAGTATCACTTCATGGAGGTTGTTGAGAACAAAGATTAGTAATCACTGCATAAAGAAAAGAAAGTTATCGTCAGCAACCCATACAACTTATATAAATAGAAAGAACGTCAATCAAATCGATCTGAAAAACTGTACATATAGCAGAATACACTAAGTGTAATAAAATTCCACCAAAAAAAGAATTTCTTCATCGTATTGTCCATTCAAAAAAAAAAAATAACCATGACTGTTTTTTTAATAACTCAAGAATGGAAGCACTTAGCGACCTGCGGTCTTCGCCATCAAAAAGAATGAATCGTGGGACGTAGACCTATATAAAAATTATTCTATTATACAAAACACAGATCAGGAATTTTTGAGTAAATTTCTCAAAAGCCACAAAATAATTAACATTTTTTTCAAAACCTCCAACTTTCTTTTTATCGCTGAAGGTCTTCTTTTTCAACAGAACAACTTCAAGATTTTACCTTGCTGAGTTCGAATAAAGAAGAGGTATGGTTCAACGTATACCTGACATTTGAATCAGTTGTCTTCCGAGGTTAATGTTCAAGACTAGGTATATTTACTGCAGTTTTCACTAAAATTTAAAGCCGTAAGTAACGCATATTTTTACCAGTAGACTCATCGTGTTTTATATAGGCCTACGTTCCACGCTTCGCTCTTTCTAATGGTGAAAACCACAGGCCGCTAAGTGCTTCCGTTCTTGAGTTATTAAAAAAACAGTCATGGGTTATTCTTTTTTTGAATGGACAATAGTATTGATGCTAACTACTCTTCTGAGCAGTCAAATCAACGGCCGTTTCATACTAGACGATGACGACTACGATAATTACCAACGAAAACCAAACGAAGATTTTGAACAAAGGCTGTCATCGTCACTTTCGAAACGAGAACTTTCAGATGACTATTCATTACTGCTCTTCTTAACAGTGTTCGGTGTCGACGATGATTTACAAGATCAGTTGACTGAAATTGTCAATGGATTAAGTGAAGAAGAACGTAAACCGATAGTTGATATTATTTCTGGTAACATGGCGCTAGCACTACAATCGTTATGTCTACAAGTAATAGATGAGGGAAAATCGATCTTAGTGGAAGATCTGATGGAAATGGCGAAAATGATTTTTGATATGGAATTTAAACAAGCTACAAAAAAATTCAATACAAATGATCGAAACGTATTCAGTAAAGTATTTGAACAGATGAATTCAAATGCAGCAAAGGCATGTAGAATCCTATCGAAAATGTCCCCAAAACTATCGACTGCTCGATAATAAGAAGAGACAAAATCTGCGGACTTATACGTAGATTTTATTCACTAGAGTCCGTATCTTTTTCCCTAAATTTAGAAAAAAAATAAAAGAATGAACGAAACTAGACCACCTGAAAGAATGGAAGTTTACTGAAAGAAACGTAGAGACGCGAAAAGAGTAGACATTTACAAAATGAGCGCTCGATGCCGCTCATAACATGAGCGAGCTTCAGCTGTTTTTCTCAAATAAGGTAAACGGCTGTTATCGAAGAAAAGTTTGAACTTTTTTCTTTTTTTCTTCCAGTTTAAAAAGTTTCATTTTTAAGTTGGTTTTAGACAGTAATTAACAGTAATTTACTCAAACCTTTATTAAAAAGAAAAACCTGAGCACAAAGGGTTAAAAGAAACCTACTTTGGCACTATACACAGAAACACATGTAAATATAAGAATCTAAAACATAACAAGAAAAGAAAAAATCAGGAAAAAAGAAAGAAAAAGAAATTCTCATCTTATCCTTAAAGAGATGTTACACTTGCACTGTTGGTTACAATGGTTTTATTGAACCTAATGATGCTCACACTAGAACTGCAACTCAATTTACTCTCATCACGTGTAGCAACCACTTGATCGAACTTACTGTTGATACGTGACAGATGGGAATCCAGGCTGCTTAAAACGATTAGTCGTAGATATAAATTTTAAAACAGAATGATATATCTGTATCATATCTTCATATTTCATAGAGTCATATAGCATAAGTAATGACATTGTTATAGTTGCGGTAGGCATTGTGTCAAAAATCTCAGAGAATAGCAGTTTTCGTTGATCTTGTATAAAGGACAAAAAGTATAAAGAAGGAAAAAGTGTTCAGGTGTCTCATTTGCACCACATACACAGTGCGAGTCAGCGGTGAGATTACTAATGTACAGATCATGTCTTAGCTGAGTTCGATCAACTCGACATCGACAAAAATGAATTTCGTCTAAGCGATTATTTGCAATGAGAAACCTTTTCTTGACCGTTGTTTTAATTTTCTTTTTAAAAGAGTTCAACTTCGTTATACTTCGTGTACTAAATGGTAATTCTTGCTAATCAATACGAGCTTGGTAAAAAAAGATTCTCTAAACATTTTTATTCTGGGAGATGGCTACCGGTGCTGATCATTTTGCTGACTACGAGTATTATATTTATGAGTAGAAACTGAATTGTTCGTTGAAGAGGATATTAAGTCAAACAAATAATTAGGTGGCTTAGTCACTAATATTGTATGATATGTAATAATTCTACTTCGATGAAAGCACTCCTTCATAGACTCCCAGCCGATGTCCTTCAAGACCTTCTGATTACTACTACCTTTCATAGCTCCTGTTACTGCTGATTTTGAATACGCTCAATATTGGAATCGGATGTGTTACCATATACGATACTACCGTATTTAAAACAGGGCATGATGAAGGACTTATAAACCACATCAAGTGCCTGACGGCATAGAATTCTACTGTAAAGTTTTAATAACCCAATTAGTTTATTCACTGTTTGCACCAAATAGTCCACATGTTTAGTCCAGTTCAATTTGGGTGTTAATATTAACCCTAGGTGTTTATGCGACTGAACATAAGTGATCTCTGTTGGTCCAATTTGAAGTGTAGGTAGCATTTGCGGAGGTTTTATTAATGTGAATAACGTTGATACACATTTATCTACACTCAAGGGTAGTTTCCAGTTAATAGACCATTTATGCACTTTGTCATGGTCACCGTTTAGCTGAGTAGCCATTTGCAGCAGATTATTGCCTGTCATATGCAGTGATGCATCGTCAGCAAATAATTTGGTGACACTTATTAGGTCATCGCATAAGTCGTCAATGTACACTAGAAAAAGTAAGGGACCTAAGACAGATCCTTGACAGATCCCTCTATTAATACGACGTACTGACGAATAATGGCCATCTGCCATCGTCACAATTTCTCTTTCATACAGGTAACTTTCAAACCACTTAATTAAGGGCTGAGGTATTCCTTTAGCTGCCAACTTATATAAGACGCCCTTATCCCAAACTGAATCAAAAGCTTTGGAAAAATCTAAAAAAACAGTTAGAATGTATTGCTTTGTTTCAAAACCCCTATATGTATGATGAACAATAGATAAAAGTTGATTTACACATGAGTCCCGATATCTGAAACCAGACTGATTCTTATTCAACAGATTATTGCCAACTAAATAGCTGTTTAGCTTCTTATAAATTAACTTTTCAAATATTTTCGATAGAATAGGCAAAAGAGTTATAGGCCTATAGTGTCTCGGATCATGCCGATCGCCAGATCTAAAGAGGGCATTGAGATAATCACACTTTCATGAATTTGAAAATGAGCCAAGGCGTAGCGATTCATTGAATAAGTAAGTTAAAAATATTGGATACAGTCCATGATGCTTCTTTTAACATTCTCGGCGATATACCAAAAGCTGAAGCTTTAAAATAATGTATCTTCTTTAATAATTCCAAAACATCAGGTTCAGAAATTAGAAAAACTGGCATCATAGTCTTACTAGTCTTAATTGGTTTGAGTATGTCATCAACCATCTCACTATTCATAGTACACATAGAAGCAAAATGGTCGTTTAGAACATCAGCTTTCTCATTGCATTCACTTACAAGTTTGCCCGAGGAAGATCGAATAGGAGGAATCGATGATTTACTAGTACGACCTAAAGAATGTTTGACAAGTGTCCACCATCTCTTTGATTTTGTACTTATGTAAACAGATATTTGTCTATAATAGTGTTTTTTGCTGTAGTTTTTTGCTGTATTGCATTCCTTTTCAAACGACCTAGATATTTCTTTATAAGAAAATTTTTTTTATCATTTTTGTTTCGTTGATATCGATAAAACGCTTTATTTTTATCACGTAGCATCAAACACAACTTTTCATTAAACCAGACTTTATCTCTAGAGGACACAGTTATTGTTTTATGAGGAATAACGGAATTTGTAATATCAAGTATTTTATTTTGTACTAAACAAACTGCATCATCTAGAGAACTGCCATGGATTAATGAATACCAATCTATATGAGCGAAGAGCACAATCATTGTACCGTTTGAGAAAAAAATCGAAATAAATAAAGTTGCTCATGGAAAAAAACTTAGTGCTACATTTGCTAGAGCTATGTCGACTGTCTATGGAAATACTGTTTTCCCGACACTTCCTGGTGTTCTGGGAGAGATTCATGGGTGTGAACTAGTTCCAATGGGTGATAACAGTTTTTTAGCAAAAAAAATAATATTTGTTTGCAGACATTACTATCGTATATCATTCGACAGATCACAATGAGATGAGATCTAAATTCTTTATCAAATGTTTTCGAACTTAAACGTTTTAATTTGATTTTAGTTTTGTATTTTTGGTCACGAGTCAAACCAGTTTTACATCTCGTCACCATTATAGGTCACTAAATCTAAAACAACAGACTTATTAAATCAGACCTATTAATGTAGCCGAAGCTCAGATCTATAAGTTGTTCATGTATTCAGATACAATTTGACGGAACGCTTTAACGCTATATTTGATAACCGTTGACAAGTTTACTTTGGGATCAGAAGCTTCCTTCACAAGGCTGTCACAAGAATTAGATGTTTTTAGCCCTTGACACCCCTTTAAGGTGGCTATCAAAGTACACAAACTTGGTAGAACGAGAGAATTTTTCAGAAAGAACCGATTTCTGTATGATATGTTTATGTGTCGTTCAGTTTTGAGGGAGAAATATTCCAAAAAATGTCGCTCTACATTTTCAAAGTAAAACTAAGTTTTCTGACGAACGAAAAAAGATCTTTGCTTGATTTTTTGGGATATTACTCTACTCCATAAGACTGAAAAATACACCAATTTTTGTTTAAA